GATCTTCGACCCGCTACCGGAAGGGAAGCTGGTAGACGAGACCCGCCAGGTGCCCCCCCGCCCCCCCTGCAAGAAGGCTGTGTCATCCTACATGGGTCTAGTGAGGGTCCAGGTGTGTTGTGTTGAACCAGTTGGTTCCATGGCATGGCGTGCCTGCTTCTGCCCTTCACATGTTGGTCCGTCAACAGCGTCGTGTGAAGGGCTGCGGCATTCAGAGCTACCCGTTCCCGAAGGCGCCGACGACACTTGTCCCCTTGGGACACCCGAGCCTTGTTGTGCGCCATCTCACGCCCCTCCCTCGTTGTCTCGAGCTAGTATGGAGTATCCCGTTGGCTAGGAGTCCCGCCGACGTCGCAAACGCCTATTTACGCGCACAGGGTGTACAGTCCGAGGAGCGCAGCAACGGGAGCACACAGAACGGTCTCAAAAGCTACCCACGACCCAACCAAAACAAGGGAACCCCAAGGGACCCCGCGTGTTTTGCTGATTCCTGTCGATTCTGCTTCCGTTTTTCCCTCGCTCTCGGTCACGCAGTTCGTGGTCAGGTTGTTGCTGGACCCACAAACGGTGTGCGTAACCGTCACCGGCGAGCCCGGGTCCGGCAAGACGGAGCTGGCCATCCAGGCCTGCGACTACGTGCGGGAGAGGCACCACTTCGATTCCTTCCTGTGGGCGGACTGCGACAAGGCCGCCCTCGACGCCTGCCCCGAGACCTTCTTCGTCATCCCAAACTCGCCCAACGGCGCGTCTGGAGACTCGGTCTCCTTGGAGGACCTCTGCCGGCTGGTGAGACCCCACAGTAGTCGACGCAGGTTTTTGTTCTACCCAAGCGAACAAACTGGATGAAGCATAGAACCAGCTACGTTGGGTCAGGGTAGGGTCTGCGTGTGCCCCCTGCCTGGTGTTTTTTTCTAGTAACCTTGCCTTCTTCGCCTTCTTTGCGTAGGCAGTCCATGAGGAGGGGTGTGGGTGCACATATCCGTTTTTTGCTGGCTTTTGGCTTGAAGAGTTGGTCGAGTGCCGTTGCTCTTAACGACACAAGTGCTTCGTAGATCTCGTAGCTCGTCAGCGGCGTTCGTTGGCCGATCGTTAGCAGTAAGTACACAGTATTGGAGGGAGAATTCGCATCGTCCAACTTCGTGTTGTTTTGGAGGGTGTTGTAACCTGCTTGCCTCCATCGTTATAGCGTTCCCTTTACTGATGATTTTAGACTCTGCCACGGGAACGTGTTCGGGGAGGAAGGGGGTACGCAACGAGGATCTTGTGCGGGCGGCAAGGGGAACGGAGCAGGGGG